AGACAAGGTACGTTCAACTAATTCGCCCTGACAACAAGACCAAGTTGCGTAAACGAGGTCAAACCATTACTATTATTTCTAAAGTTTAATACCAAAATGCTTGAGAGCGATGTCTCACTGGTAAAATAGGCTTTTAATATGTATAAGACTGGTTTTCGAAAAATCTCTCAATAGATTGATGAGATATCTGATCAAGTGAAAAAAGGTAGACTACTGGAAGTAGTTAGGATTTAAATCAGCCATGGTGGATTATCTTAAAGCAAGATGTACGGTTCTGATAATGGCTGCCATGAGACGGTCGCAATCTCAACAAGGATTTTTCGGGGTCGCAGGGCTGTCAGTTGAGAACCTACTTGCACAAAGCTAAATTAAAAACGTCAAGACGACTATCTTTCGGCTTCCGATAAGGCCAACTTGCGAATCCTTTCCGCTCGCCTCTATAAGCTGAATGAAAGGTAAACCAAAATTTAAATTGGCTTTTGTTTTCAGCTTTAGTCAATTAAGACTTGCTCTTCATTAGCTATTTATACACCTATTTACTATCAATCATGTTTGCTAACAGCTTCAAAATGACCAGAAGTTGCTGGTTAAATGATATGGACTAAGCCGTAATACACTATCAAATCTCAAGTTAAATTGATTAATTTTAAGTTGGAATGTATGTATATAAATATAAGCTCATGGAATGCATAACATCAACAAAACAATCTGTAAAAGAGACCAAAACAACCCCTTCAGTAGCTAATCAGCCAATACCTTTCCAAGGGTTTGCCAAATAACCAGAGTAAAGAAAAAACACCAGAGATGATTAAATATTTCCAAGCCATCTGGTCAAGGCAATAATATTTTTTTATTTTTTGCTTAACTTGGCTTCGTCACAAAAATACAGCCCATCAAGTAACAATTTTGTTTATAATTATTAATAGGATAGTTGTCTATATATACATGCGCCAGCCGTCCTTTCATGGTTCTTCTCATCCACGCTTCCCATCCTTTCCTTAGGTGCCTGGTTTATAAGTGCTTATTTTCTTGATTAATTATCTCTGCTTCGGCTATGATGATAATCGAGCCGAATTTCCAGCGTTCCCTCTAAGGAGTTGAAATGCTTTGAAATAATATTCGGGGCGATAATTTCTGAGCTGTTGTTTCTTTGGGTCTAATCACCACAATTTATATTAGTATTCTACAAGTATTTTTTACATTTTTCAGGCACCAGACTCGATTTCACAACTCAAATGTAATTCGTCATGTTGGGTCTTTACCTCGACCCCTTATTCTCAAGCATTCGTCAATCACCGTGCGTCACTTTGCCGTCTATTCAGACCCTCCATTATTTGTTACAGCACCGCTCTTTTACGTTAATTCAAGTAAGCTTATTTTCGACTACATCACATACTGGCTCCATTTAATAAGCGATTATTATTTGCAGAACCACATCTCGGTCACGCCTTCACTTTGTGCTTCGCAGATGCTTGGAATCGTTACTTATTACTTCGCAAACGCCCAAAAATTATGGCGTTCGATCTTTATGATACGGACCTACTGGGCCAAATTAGTCTCGACTCTTGTTCTCCCTTCGTCTTATCGACCGGTTCAGACGAACATGGCACAAAGGTATTTACATATTTTTACGTCTAACTAGTTTGGTTTGTATCGGCAGTTTTCGATGATTTAACTGTATCATATTTTAGTCCATCTTCTGAGTGCTTCACTCCATTCCAATTAATATTTTTATTTTATTTATTCCTTCGTATGAGTTAGTACCATCCAGCTTCGTATGTATGATTTTATAATTTCGATTCTCTCATTTTCGAGTATATAAATTGCCAATATTTCATCAATAAAATAAGTTTATCATGATATTTGATTCATCAGGTACATCACTCAAAGGCACTTGAAGCAGCTTGGTGTAAAGTAATATCTTTGCTCGCGATTGTTTTATACTTGTTAAGCACTTGAATTATTCAAGTGTTTTTGTTACACCATCTCGCTTAATTGGAAAAAAACTAGAGTATGCATCGGATTGTCTTTCATTTTGTTTGATAAAGCACCTGGAAGAGGTTCGTAAGTTAGCTTCACTGGAAGCTGGAGGACTGGTTGGGCCTTCGCCCATCGTGCGACTGAAATCGTCAGTATTCTACTGAGCCTTACGATAAGTCACCAAATACGAGGGCAAGAAAGGTACAATCGCTTATAGATGAGCTACTTGTTGAATCATCTGTCTTGGCGAATAACCTCAAACTTAAACTACGATGCACATCATATCAACTTATCCTCAATTTGTACTGAAGTCTAAAGTGCTTCCAATGATACATTAATTATCCCATACAAATACCCTAAAATCATATGCCCTCTATTACCGTCTATTCGTTTATAGATTGAAGCCGCTTCAAAGGTCTCTGGGAAAAATTATTTGTCTTTTTGCGATGAAATTTCATCTCATTTTCAAGTAAGCTCTATGTTTGTCGTCATTAATATGTCTATTGCATGTTTATTACTTGAACCTGAATGTAAGCGTGGCAAATGATTTTCGCATGGTCTCGCGTGTCTGGTGCGTGAACTAATTACTTAAGTTCCCAATTCGTGCATATTAATCTGCCCCATATTTTGATTGGCTGAGAGTTTGGTTATTAATTTCCTTATTATCGTGATCATATTTCTATACATTTTTGATACAGCGTCATACTTCTCCGGCCCGACTTTCTTAAGC